TCCCTCCTTACAGAGTGGAATAGCTGCTGAGTATTAAGTTCACAGTCCCCCATCATTGCATGGGTCTGGGAAAAAGGTCTTTTGGCAAGTAGTATCCTGTCCCACATCCCCAGCTATCTATGTTCATCCTCCTTTGCTTACGAATCTGTGTTGGTCAAGTTAATGTTATAGCCCAGAATGGGCTCAAATTCATTATGTAGGTGAGGATAACCTTGATCTACAGCCTCCCCTCCCAAATGTTAAAATTACAGGTGTGTACCACCATGCCAATTTTATTTTATGTGTATGAGTGTATTGCTGTGTCATGCAGTACCTGCAGAGGTCAGAAGAAGGTGTTGGATTCCCTGGGACAGGAGTTATAGATGGTTGTTAGCTGCCATGTGGGTGCTGGGAATTGAACCTGGGTCCTCTGCAAGAGCATCCAGTGCTCTTAACCATTGAACCATCTTTACAACTCCCACACCATGTCAATTTTTGTGCAACCCTGGGGATCAAACCCAGAGCTTCATGTACACTAGGCAAGCACTGTACCAACTGAGCTACATTCCCTAGCTCTTAAATGCTTATAGTTAAAGGATATCCAATAGCTACATGGCCATGCTGCTTAAATATTTTATATTATACAGCATTACTACTTAATGCATTGGTTATAGTTATTTATTAGTATATTTTGTACATTTGCCATGTACTAGAACCTGTGGTAGGCCCTGTAAACAAAACGGTGAGCAAAATTACATAACCCTGGACCTACAGGGCTGTCTATAAAGGAAGATGCGCACAGAAAGAATCTGAAGGTGCAGAAGATTGGGGGGTGGGGTGATAGAGGGCACCATGGGAACATGGTGCAAGGACGCCTTGGGAAGAGATCAACTGTGTTCAGCTCTCCTAGCAGCTGGCGCTCAATTTGCACAAGCAGCATGGACAATAGCCTGGGGAGTGGAGTGCTAGAAGACTGGAAAAGTACTTGGTGTCATGTGGTTGGGACACAATGTAGAAAGTAGGAGAAGATAGATGAGAGAGACACACAGAGAGAGGGGAAGAGAAGGGGGAGAAAGCTTAGACCACCCATACCACATTGAAACACTCTCAGAGACAGTGCTGCGGACCAAAGCTGGATGTGGTACTCTGAGTGTTCCAGCCCAAGTTGTGTGGAGGTGTAGTTAATACCACAGAGATTAAAAAATGCCCCAGTGCCATCACTCATAGAGAGGAAAACACAAATGCTTTAGAAATCACCACTGAAGGAACAGAGCATTCTCTGATTCCTTGGTTTCATGCAAGTTTGTTCAGATTTGACCTTTGAAGTAAGCCTAATACAGTTCAGCACAAAATTCATCTGTTTTTTAATTATATCACTTATTTATGTTTAAACATAATCCTGGTTGCTTAGCTATATATTGGTATAATTTTTTTACAAGAAATATGGAATAAACATTTTATAATATATATTATTAAATGTGACACAGCTAATATGCAGAAGGATATGAAAGCTTAGAGGATTTTATTTTATTTACTTATGTATTTATAATTTGTAGACCTGGGACTTGAAGTCAGGACCTCATGCATGCTAGTCAAGTACTCTCCCATTAAGTTATATTCCCAGCTGAGAAAAAATTTAAGGCTCGGGGTCCCTTAATTCATGTAGCCTCATGGCCAGTCTTGCATTTTTTTTTTTTTTTGTCTTTTTGAAACAGGGTCTCCCTGTAGCCCTGGCAGTCTTGGAACTCACTATGTAGACCAGGCTGGCCTTGAACTCACAGAGATCCACCTGCCTCTGCCTCCAGAGTGCTGGGTTTAAAGGTGTGTGCCACCACAACACCCGTCTTATCCTGGTTGTAATGTTAATGGCTCTCTAGGCTCCTGTAGGTCTGTTGGTTGGTGGCTGAACCTCAGTTCCCCCTCCAGCCTTATGAGATGCCCATTGGTTCAGCTCTGAGGTGGTGGTGCTAGGCCTGGCATGGCCAGTCTCTTTGCTGTGCCTTTCTCTGGTCCTGAGCATTTTCCTGCTTTATGGCCCTTCAGTGAAGGCCATGTGATGGAAAAGGAAGGAAGGTAAGGCATGCCCTAGCTTTTCAGAAAGTACTGACCTCGTAAGTAAGAGGGTAAGCACTTCAGAGCAATTGGGGTGGTTCTTGGTATTCCGTGTGTGTTTTTGTTATGTTTTTATTAGGAATAGCTGTTTCTTTTCCCATCAGTGGTAATAACTCTATTCAGAATTCCCATTCTTGGATCAGCTTGGGGAATTTGTGTTTTACTAATTATTGGTTTCCTTTGAGTCTTTGAATTTATTGCCACACAGTTTCTTTGGCTATACTTGCATGTATTTTTGTGCTTTGAATGTGTGTACTTATGTCTTCTCATTTTAAACTCTTATGCTGTTCTGTCCTTTTTTCTTCTACAGGATCGAGGAGGGGTGTATATTACTGCTCCTTTTTAAAACTGGCTTTTGGTTTGCCCATCATTTCCACTTTTCTTCTATCCCATTGATTTCTGGCTGCTTTGGTATACCTTGTTGTGGTCTTTGTTATTTGCTAGAGAAATGAGCAATCGGTTCCTGTTTACATAAGTTCCATGAATTACTTGGTTTTCTAAGTTGGAACTCAGTGCCCAGTGGGCCAGTTTTCTGTACACAGAACATCTTTTAAGTTCATACTAGGAACCTAAACATGAGTTCCTTACCTATTGAGAATTCTATAGCTCTGTGCCAACCATTGTAATTTGTGTGTTCGTGGAGGTGGGAGAACATATCCACATTATGTGCATGTGAGTAGATGCACCTGTGAATGTGCATGCAGAGGCCAGAGGACTATGTCAGGTGTTGGTGTCTTCCTCTGTTGCTTTCCACCTTATTTTTTGACAAGGTCCCTCGCTGAACCTGGACCTTTCCATGCTGGCTGGCTGGCCAGCGAGCTCTTGGGATCCACAAGTTTCTTACTGCCAACACTGTTGCTATAGACACTCCTAGCCATGCCTGGCTTTTATGTGGGTGCTTGGAATTTCAACTCTGGTCCTCCTACTTTGACAACAAGCACTTTTAACAGTGAGTCATCTCCGCAGTCCAAATCATTGTACTTTTTAAGCTTAAAATTATGTATTTCTAAAAGGCCACTATCCATAGAACTAATAGGTTCTGTGGAAGTCTAAGTTCACTGAATCAAATACATTTCAGTAGATGATGGAAGAGCTTGTTTGCTTTTGTACCTCTGTTGTTACCTTTTTGGTTTCCAGGGACCAATTTGATAAAAACCTAGAAGCTTAGATTGTATAGGAAATAAAGACAATTCATAGCCATCTGTGATCCTTTTAAAATAGTAATTCTAGGGACTGGAGAGATGGCTCAGTGGTTAAGAGCACTGACTGCTCTCGCAGAGGACCCAGGTTCGATTCCCAGCACCCACCTGGCGGCTACAAACCATCCTTAACACCAGTTCCAGGGGAATCCGAAGCCCTCTTCTGACCTCTAAGGCGTTCCATGACATGGGTGCACTCACATACATGCAGGCAATACACTCATACACATAAAATAAAAATAATAAATAAATACTTAAAAATAAAATAG